CCCCTAAATATACATGGTAGAAGATAGGAGACACAGAAAAGTCTGTCCCTCTCAATGGCATAATTTTCTTTTCTAATTTGTCCCCCCAACTTACCACATATCATTCCAGCACCAAGTCGAAGAAACCTCCAAGAATACATTAATGTGGCAGTCTTCAGTTCTATCCTCAGGTGTCTGAAGTAATTAATTATCTCAGATATTTCACTGATATTTGTTCTCACATGAATTACAAACAAACAGAAAATTCCCTTCAATTAATGTAACTCATTGCAATAGTTATTTTTCAACACTTAAAAAAAACCAGTATACCACCCTTTTACTTGTATCTGGAACACAGATATATTAGAATCACTGTTCAGAACATCTCGTTTTTCTTTTCTTTCTTTCTGGGGACTTCCCTCCACTCCTTTTTCCTGATTACTGGTACTGTTCACCTCCAATCTGTTCTCAATCTGCACCTGCAGTTCATCTGCCGCCTCCTCCCCATAGGCAAAATACATATAATCAAGGACTCGGCTGAAGGGCTCTATAGATGTTTGGCTACCAGGAAGAGTAGTAAGAAGAGCAAAGGACTTCTTTGCTCTTCCATAGCCATTATTTCCATGGGAATTATCCCATGTCTCTTTCTGATAGTCTAAACCAAGTTAAGAATCAGGGGAAGGCACAACTTTGCCTCCTCTACTAAAAGCAGAGGGAAAGCTCTCCTGTTCTCCATCCCCCAGCACTCAGGAAATACTGTTCTCCCAGAACTATACTTCTGTCCCCATTATCTCTTCCACCACATGATGCAGGAATCCTACATGATGGTCCGTTAAAATACAAGTGATTTTATTGTCACTCTTTTGGAATAACCTGCATAAAATCATTTGTGAGTACTGCACTACTTCAAACTCATAAAGATAAAACGTACAGTACTTGATAATGTAGTATCTCAGATTTAATATTATACACAGATATATACACATACAAGCCACAGAATGTGTGTATAACACATTTCGTTTTAAAAACAATCTACAGCAAATGTTCTACTAAACCATCAAGAAAGTAATATAGACAAAATGTAGGAAGTTTAAGTAACTTAGTATATATCAACATTGTATGCTCAAGTAAGTTTTATACAAATACACAAAAAGTATAAGTTCCATTGGTTGGTATTCTCAGGTCAAAACTTCAAATTTCCAACATATCCAGTCCTGAAGAGAAACAGTAATACCATTACCATCTGTAACTTTGCTAGGATCGTTACACGTTATCATTTCAGTTAATCTCTCTATGCATCACAGATTTTTTTTTTAACGAGAATGTTAGGTGACAAAATTTATCCCCAGTGTACTGTACTGTAAGCCCCAAGGAAGTCAAAGGAATTACAATGGGGAAGAATTTAGCCAAAAAATGTCTAAAATCCTATTAAAGTGAAAAGTTTTTCTATACATTCCCATAAGGAAATATTTTCCAAAGAAGTGCTTATTCAGGGGAGAAAGACACGTGGGAGTACACTCTTTAATGAAGCAGTCATTTCTCTATTGTGCTGCAGGGAGCATTTGCTGACCAGATGGTAATCAGATGCTGTGTTCAGCCAGCATGAAGTACTACTTAACTAGGGCTATGCGCTAGAATTATAAAACAACCCATTGCACTAGATTTGGACCAGATCAAGAAGTTTACACAGTAAGAGGCCACAAAAACAAAGTGACTGCATCACCTTTCATTCCTTTCACAGCAAATATCAGCCTGTCTCAATTCTTTGGCAAGTGCAGTTTCCTAAGATTTTGTAGAGGCAGTCTAATTAGCTCTTACAAAGAGCTCCATTTTTCAGCATCCTGGTGCTGCTTTCAATTTTTGGTCATGTCAGGTCTTTTCCAAGGAACAGTCACTTATCCCAGCTGAAGATCTGCAAAGTCACCAAAATTATAATTTGATTTTTTACTTCGCCAGCACACTAGGAATGCAATCATTCTTCACTATAATGAGATTTGGCAATCAGGCCTCATAAAACTACTGCACTCATATTTACAAGCTTTAATAAAGGCAAACTGCCAAATTACAAATTTCAACAAGCGCTAAGTTTTACCTGTGCCTGTAGTTACACAATCAAATGACTCCATTTGGTGTTTTAACCACACCCATCAAAACTTCATTAAGAGCTGTTCAGCATTAAGAAAACAGTAGTTAGAAGCAACTGTTTGTTATATCAAATCTTAAGCACTCAAATTTAAAAGTACATCATATAGGGTTGCCAGGCATCCGGTTTTCGGCTCCTAGATGCAGGAGCGGCCGGTGGGGGTCTGCGCGTTGCCCCCACCCCGAGCGCCGGATCCGCAGCTCTCATTGGTCATGAACCATGGCCAATGGGAGCTGTGGGAGTGGTACCTGCGGACGGGGGCAGCACCCGGAGCCCCCTGGTTGCCCCTCCACCTAGGAGCCAGAGGGACATACCAGCCACTTCCAGGACCTGCCCGAGGTAAGCGCTGCCCAGAGCCCACACCCTGAACCCTCTCCCACTCCCAAAACCCCTGCCCCAGCTCAGAACCCCCCCCCGCACCAAAACTCCCTCCTACAACCTACACCCCCTCCCGCACCTCAACCCCCTGCCCCAGCCCAGAGCCCCCTCCTGCACCCTAAACCCCTCATTTCTGGCCCCACCCTGGAGCCCACACCCCTAGCCCAGAGCCTGTCCCACACCCCAACACCCTTCCCCAGCCCGAAGCCCCCACCTGCGCCCCAAACCCATCATCCCCAGTCCCACCCCAGATCCTGCTCCCCCAGCCGGAGCCCTCACCCCCTACTGCACCCCAATCCCCTGCCCCAGCCTGGTGAAAATGAGCGAGTAAGTAAAGGGGGTGAGAGTGAGTGATGGAGGAAGAGGGCATGCAGTGAGCAGGTGTTGGGCCTCAGAGAAGGGGGTGGGGCAAGGGTGTTCAGTTTTCCGCAATCAGAAAGTTGGCAACCCTAACATTATATGAAAGACAAAGAGGAAGAATATTAAGATTAAAATAAATAGGAGAAAATTCTAGTTTGGCAAAATTGAAGAAATGCAAAGGACACTGAGATAGACATAGATATGGCTGTATCTCTCACACACACACACACACACACACACACACACACCAAACATTATTTCATCTCCTTTTGTAATATCCTCATATTTGTAATACCCTCTTTGAAGCTTGAAAATGAAGCATCTTCCTTACAACTTTTCTTCTTTTCCTGTTAGCAGAGAAGTATTTCCTTGTTCATGGTCTATCATTAGCATCAGCACTACCTTCAACAGTTAGCTCCTAACAAAGGAAGTACTGGGCCATACAAGATTGTTTTTGGCATTCAAATGAAAATAGTGGCTCTCCAATTTGTTAGCTAGAAATTAAAAGCCATTGACTTCAATAAGCAGAGGGGGCTTGAACCTTGTAGGATCTGGCCTTGTGAAATGAATTTTGGGGACAGGTATTTCTGATTCTTTAAAGTATGGTTCTACTCTAAAACGTTACCATCCGTGATGCACTGAAGGGAGCTCTCAGGGACCCTTTCTTAAATCTCTTCCACCAAGTAGAATGGAAAGTTAAGATGATTTCCCTGTGTTCTTTGGAGTTCACACCTTCCCTGCTTACTGTTAAGTCATCTCTACTTGAGAGGATTTATCCCTGTGGCTCAAAAATACTTCTGGATTGTTTGCCTTTGAGTTGACCAGAATATTGGAGTAAAGTAACAAAATCCCTGTGGAAAATACCAACAATCCCCAAAATGAACACACTAATATACAACTATCGATACATTGAATATATTTTTCAGAAACTTTTATAACAAGTGCTGCTGCTTAATATAAGTTGGCCCAGTGCCATGTCCTCCCTCTTTGGCTATGGTTTTGAGAGTTTTTGTTTAGAGAGGAAGATAAATTAATAGATTTCACAGTCCTTCCTCCCTGCAAGCGCCCCACCTACACACAATCTCCCCTCCCCACTGAACACAGGGTTTAATCACAAGGAAAAAAATTTTGTAGGAGCCTCTTATGAATGCATTGACAGCACATTACTGACTATTCTGCAAACAGCACTTTTACTCCACAAATCAGTTCCTTGTGTATTTTGAAAGTCTTATCAACTAATGGTAATCAGTAAAGTATGTTTCCACTGCTTATTACCCCATTAGTACTCAGAATCCAAATCTGGTAATAGTAAGAAAGCAAGAGCTTGATTCTATTTTCTGAGGCTTAAACAGGATTGTTTACTAAGCTCCAGGTACATTAGTGTGAATCCGTGAAAAACAATGACACTGCACAGGTGTCACTGAGGCCATTTCTAGCAATGATATATGAAAAGGAAAGAACCCAGCTTAACTTTCAAAATCCAACTGAGTCTTCAGTGCTGGCTGTTAGAAAACCATTTTTATTTGCAAAACCAAGTACATCTGATAAGAAAGTCATTGAGTGAGAATAATGTCAGGATATTTCAATTTTTTTTTTTTTAAAAGCAGTCACTTTTAGAGTATGATAGAACTACATATTAAGCCTTACCTAATCAAATGATGACAGTTTAAAGACTAGCCCACGAATGGTTTTAACTTCTTGAGTAACCAAAAAAAACCCCAAAACCACCTTTTAATCATTCATTTAATTTTATAGCTGTCTCCTTTACTGAACAGGAAAGAGAATGAAATAATTTACCAACAAATTTTATAACCCCAAACAAACTTCTGTTTATAACCTAGTAAGTCCAAAATTAGACCAATGGCCAAACTTTCCAAAACTACAGCCTCAAGTTCCAAGTGCAAAAAAAATTCATTTGCACATTCAAGTTGTTTACTTGCATGCACAAATTTGTAGATGCATGTGTTCATGTATTTCTTTTGTGGAGACTTTAGCTTTTTAAAAGGTGATTAATATATTTTTAAAAAGGTGACTAGGTTTTCCAAACAAATTTAAAATTAGACTGGAGCATACTACATCATTCATTTAGATAGCCGGGTTGTGAAATCACTACCCTCAACAGATTAATAGGTATGCTTACCTTTGGTTATAAGGGTTCCAAAAGTATGCCTTCTCACTTCCCTGTTTACTGATACTGGGAACAATGAAGAGGAGCCTGGAAGTCAAATGAGAAATCCTTATTTTTAATACGAAGGTACCCTAAACATGTATATCAATAGCAGGCATACATAAAATCAGTATTCTATATCTTAAACCAGTGGTTCTCAAACTTTATTGCACCATGACCTTCTTCTGATAACAAAAATTGCTACATGACCCAGGAGGGGGGACGGAAGCTTGAGGCCACCCAAGCCCTGCCACCCAGGCGGGGGCGGGCCAAAGCCCAAGCCCAAGGGCTTCAGCCCCAGGCGGGGGCGGGTCTGTAACCTGAGCCCGAGGCAGTGGTGCTCAGGCTTCAGCTTCAGCCCTGGGCCCCAGCAAGTCTAATGCTAGCCTTGGCGACCCCATTAAAACCGGTCACGACCCACTTTGGGATCCTGACTCACAGTTTGAGAACTGCTGTCTAACTATTTAACATAGAACAATAATCTACATACACAAATATGGAAATATAGCACTGAATGGTGAGAAATCATGGTGAGAAACTGTTTCATATCCTATGTGATTTATTGCTACACCCTCTTGGGTGTAATTAATATGCTAAAACATGTGGTAATTATTCCTGCCTACAAAATGTTGAGGAATTTAACTTTGATTCCTGGAGACAAAAAGCAATTTGTTGAGATATTAATCAAGAAAATCCACATTCTATACATTCCAGTGCCTAGACATACAGTACTAGGAATGAATATTTCTATATGAAAGAAGCAAGAACAAGAACATTTTACATAGGTCTGTCTAGCCGATCAACACACAGATGTGGAATACACACTAACATTCCGTAAAAAGTGGCTGGACCCTTTCTAATCTATATCTGTATTAACAGAATTGCAATACAGACATTTAATGCGCTCCCTAGATATTAAAATAGACTTTTATATGCAGTTTTACACCTATATACTTGAAAACACAGCAGGAACAGATGTGGCTGCCTAAACTAAATGATCAGTGCAGGATTAAAAGAAACACCACTGATGTATTTTATAGAATAGTGAACATAATTAAATTTCTTATTTACTAAAAATCCATCCAAGCAGACTACATAAAGCCTCCTAATCATAAATTTACTGCATTTAGATATGGTAGACAGCAGTTGTATGTATATATAGTAACTCCTCACTTAACGCTGTAGTTATGTTCCTGAAAAATGCAACTTTAAGTGAAACGATGTTAAGCGAATCCAATTACCCCATAAGAATTAATGTAAATGGGGGGGCGGAGGGGGTTAGGTTCCAGGGAAATTTTTTTCACCAGACAAAAAACTATATATTATATAGATATACACACAGTATACGTTTTAAACAAACAATTTAATACTGTTCACAGCTATGATGATTGTGAAGCTTGGTTGAGGTGGTGAAATTAGAGGGTGGAAGAGGGAGGGATATTTCCCAGGGAATGCCTTGCTGCTAAATGATGAACTAGCACTCAGCTGAGCCCTCAAGGGTTAACACATTGTTGTTAATGTAGCCTCTCACACAAGGCAGCACGAACACGAGGGAGGGGAGATAGCATAGCAGGCAGAGACAGACACACACCTTGCGTGTGGGGGAGAGATGCACACTGCCCCTTAAAGTAAGCTGACCCACTCTTAAGTGCATTGTCTTTTTAAGTGGATCAGGAAGTTGAGACAGCAGCTGCTGCCACAAGCTCTCTGTGTCTCTCTCTGTCCGTGTCCCCTCCCTGCTCTATGGAAGATGGGGTAAGCAGGGTGCAGGAGCAGGGGGGAGGGGGACACCCTGACATTAGCCCCTTCCCTTCCCCCCCTGCACAGCAAGCAGGAGTCTCTGGGAGCAGCACCAAGGCAGAGGGCAGGAGCAGCACATGGCAGTGCGGGGAGGGACAGCTGCTGGGTGGCTGCAGCACAGAGAACTTAGGGGAGCGGGGAAATGATGGGGGGCTGCCAGTCCACCCTGGTTACAAGCCCCCACCAGCTAGCTGCAACGGGCTGCTCTTCCTGCAAGCAGTGGACAAAGCAGGCAGTTGCCAAACGACGTTAGAAGGGAGCATTGCACAATTTTAAACGAGCATGTTCCCTAATTTATCAGCAATGTAACAACGAAACAACGTTAACCGGGACGACTTTAAGTGAGGAGTTACTGTACTAGGCAGAACATAATATCATCTGAGGGCCAGTGGCAGTCTCCAGTTGCCTTTTCCCTAAAGCATAGTTTACACTTAAAAGTTTGCCAGAATAGCTATTCTGGCAAAACCCTCCTAGTATAGACACAATTTTATGCCATCGAAAAAGTGTTTTTTCCCTTATAGCTTATACCAGTTGGGCGAATAAAATCAGCTATACTGGGAAAAGCACTTTTTGTCAGCTTAACTGTGTCTACACTGGGGATTTTGTGACAAAGGAATAGCACAAAAGTAAATCCCTTGACCTAACAAAACAAACAAAAAAAGGCAGCACACCCCTTGATAGCAAATGTTTTAATGTAGACTAGGCCTAAGTGAAGTTTGAGGATCAAATGCAGGTAGTTTTCTGTTGGTTAGTTTTTTTTAGAATCGCTGATAAATTCTAATGTAACCCTGGTGCCGACCCCCTTCTCCAGTGCTTCCCTTTTTTACTAAAAAAAAATCGGCTTATGAATGAGTATATATGGTATATATTATAGATTTATAGAAAGAGACCTTCTAAAAACGTTAAAATGTATTACTGGCACGCAAAACCTTAAATCAGAGTGAATAAATGAAGACTTGGCACACCACTTCTGAAAGGTTGCCGACCCCTGCAATAGAGACTCATATACTAAATTTCAGAGGTCCTAAATTCAATCCCGCTCGCTGATTACCGGGATCTGTTGGCGTTATATTAAGCCCATCAGAAGTACATTAAATAGAGTAACTTCGCCAGAAAATGTGTATAGAGTAAAGGTACTTGAAAAATAGATGTTGCCAAGTTTTAAACAACACTGGTATATATCAGACTATATAGCAAAAAGTAGGACTGACTGGCAAAATTAGTTCTCTCATCTGTAATTTTGCTCATAGAATGATCCACTTCTCTGGACTGAAGTCTAAACTCATGGGTATTTCTGTCCAGTGCAGCAAAATTCCTCTGAAAGCTTTCCTTGCTACTGTGTTTGCTATACCAATTACACACACCCCAGTCAAATACTTTCAAAACTAGATTACAGTGTAAACTGAACACACACATATACATAAAAGCATGGTATTGATATCAGTGTAACATATGTAACTCTCTGTCCCAATTTAAATAAAGACAAAAGAGAATCACAGACTAAGCCAAGTATACACAGAATATGGGATAAGCATAGGGAGGATCTGTCCAAATTAGTAAGAGAAAACAAAATCAGAGGTAAGAAAACTAATTCCGCAATATGATTCACTGCTCCCAGAAATTACAATTCATGGGAAATAGCAAACAGTGACCATCACCCAATCACCATATAGGGAGAGTAATAAAAGTGAACACGAGTGTAAATATAGTCATTACAAATAAAGAAAACAAAGTCGGCATGAGTCAAACAAAAAAAAGACCACTGAGAAACCCTCTCAAAATAGAATTAACCTGAGACTAAAAAGAGATTATAAACTCTGTTCAATTAGCTTTGAATTCAAAAGTTATTTTCCCAGAAGAAACAGCTTTATCTCTATACATACATCAGAGGTGAAAGTAAGCCGGCAAGAGCTGGTGCGCCGTACCGGGGCGGCCCGGCTTCCCCAGGTGGCAATTTAAAGGGCCTGGGACTCCCAGCAGTGGCTGGAGCACCAGGCCCTTTAAATTGCAGCCAGAGCCCCGCTGCTGGAGCCCTGGGGTAGCAGCAGCGGGGCTCCAGGGGTTATTTAAAGGGCCGGGGCTCCCTCTGCCTCTACTGCTCTGGTCCTTCCTTTAAATAGCCGCCGGAGCCCCGCCGCCGCTACCCCAGGACTCCGGGGGCTATTTAAAGGACCAGGGCGGTAGAAGCAGGGGAGTCCTGGGCCCTTTAAATAGCCCCCAGAGCCCTGGAGTAGCAGCGGGGCTCCAGGGGCTATTTAAAGGGCCCGGGGCTCCCACTGCCTCTACGGCTCCAGCCCTTTAAATAGCTGCCAGAGCCCTGGGATAGCAGCAGCAGCCGGGGGCTCCGGCAGTGGTTTAAAGGGCCCGGGGCGGTAGCGGCGGCCGAGCCCTGGGCCCTTTAAACTGCTGCTGGAGCCCCTGACTGCCGCTGCTACCCCAGTGACGGAGGGGGAAGGCACTTACCAATACAGGGCAGGCCGGGGCTGACTCTGACCCCCCCCCCCCCCCTTCCCCCCCCCCCTTCCGCCCGAGGCCCCGCCCCTTCTGGGGGCCGGCGCTGGCCCCAACCCAGCCCCGTACCAGTAAGTCCCTATTTCTACTTTCACCCCGACATACATAGTATACAAATATATTATTTAATACAAATCTTCATCATAAAACATATTGAGAGCAGTTTAAAAGATGTTACTAAAAAATTTGTTTCCAATACAATATAGCAACACAGTTTTGCAATGCTTAAAAAAGAATGCATAGATGACCACAATGCAGTTTTGCAAACGCTCACAATTGTATCATAAGTCTTGCAGTGCTTGAGGTTTCTCTGAAAGCCCCAGATCCTAGAGGCATGTAATTACATGAGAATCTCAGCTTTTGCCTCTTTTTGTCATTTTGGGTAAGTCCCTAGCCCTTATAGTTGGAGAAAAAGCTTGAAAACATGACTTGAATTTACTCTAAAGGCTCAGATGCCAGAAGGCTAAGATAGAAGTCTTTTTTTATTTTAATTGTATGATTTTCAAGACAATATCTTTTTTTTTTTTTAGCCCTGACTCATTGATTTCTAAATGTTTCAGGCTAGCAAGTTTTCTCCTTCCCACATGATACGTTGAGGTTTTTCCATGCAGTGCATACTTCTAGAATGTGCCCCAAGTCTCAAAGAAGGCTCCTAGATTGCTGATTTTTGTGCTAGAAAATGGTATCAATTAATTATCTGGTGAAGTAGTATTTAGAAGATTATGTAGCTTTTTATGAGACTGACAACCATGAGACAAGCATTAGACTTTCTCCACAGGTTAGAATATTTTTTATCTAAAACTCATCCAGAATACTTCCTGAGAAAGAAAGTTTATTTTAAGTGGGTATGACTGAAAAGAAAAGGAATTAACTACTTTAGATTAAGCTTATTGTTCCACAAACATTTTAGGACTGGTCTACAGAATCCCTTACTCAGAATATTGATAAGCGTCTACAACTGAAATACCCTCACGGCTGCTCCGCTACAGCTCTCCCGCTGACAAAACACTTCCACCCCCAACGAGAAGAGATAACATTGTCGGCAGGAGAGTGCTCCTGCCGACAAAGTGCGGTTCACACCGGCACTTGTCATCGACAAAACTTTTGTGTTTCAGAGGGGTGTTTTTTTAACACCTCTGAACAACAAAAGTTTTGTCTTTCACTTGCCAGTGTAGACAAAGTCTAAAGGAAAACCCTGAGAAAGGCCTAGAGAGTTAGAAAACAGGCAGAAAACATGGCTGGATGACTTCTTGAAAGTGATTTTAAAGCTGTTTGTAGTAGAATATTAAAACATCCTGGATCCCCAGGTTGCATTAAACATACTTGCTGTAGAGCCACAACTAGAAAGTGAGAAACAGCAGGATTCAACAAAAGAATAAAACATAAGAGGATAGGGTGCATGGCATATAGGTTGAGATTTGAACAAAAAAAACTCCTTCCTTTTCAGACCTTAAGAAAATGCCTTTTATATAAAACTCTAGAATAACTTTAATCAGGGAATTAAGAGGCATAAAGTTTTAGCAATAGCACCACTGAGGTCCATTCATCAAACATGTCAGGAGAGTGCACACTTTCAATTCCAGTTTTCAAAATCAAAAACCCAGCCCCCACCACTTTTCACTGGTTTGGGTAGAAACACTCGGGAGTTAGGATTTCCATCCAGAGCACTGGAACCATCGTGTCGGGAAAAGGGACTCATTCTTACCATGATACATTGCTTCTTAAAATATAGTCTAATTTATATTTTGGTAGCCTTATGCTAGAATTTCTGGCTTTTAGCTATATTTTAAGCAAACTGCTCTTTAGCATCTTCACTGCCATGATTCAAATTATATATTTTGGTGTTTTTAAGATGTACAACTATTAAATGCTTTTAAGACATGGAGTAGAAGAATGGACATAAAAAGTAGAATTATTATAATAGATTTCCACTTTAAAATGTTATGGTAGAAAAACGCTTAACTAAAAATTTCACCTTGTCAAGGACTATATCTACTACATGCATACCTGTGTCATACCTGCTTATTTTACTATTAGAACTTTTTATTATTGTCTGCACTTCGTTAATATATCTTCAAGAAAGTCTGCTTACTTTATAATGCTTATTGCGTCATCATCAGAATTCAAAGCTAGTAAGTCCACAATCGTTGCTGGTGATGATGGCGAGTGCTACGGAGGATACAAACGAGACAGAATGAAAATCAAGTGATTAATCATAGATTGAAGTTATACAGTTGGCTGCTAGGAAAAATAAAAGAAGACATGGTTTAACTTGTAAATTGAACATTGACAAACTCACTGATGAAGAATTACCACTACATTTCTAACCAGAATCACATTTAATATATTTTATGAGTCATGCCAAACTAAAGAAAGCATACTCCATGTACTTTAAGCCATTATTTGGGGAAAATCTGACTATGGCTTTTTTTTTTTTTTTTTTTTTGGTGGTAGTGAAGGAGATTGTATTTCAAAGGTTGCCAGCTGGAAAGCGGGCCCTGCAAAGCAATTTGAAGCAATAAATAGACATTTTCAAGGTGGTTTTACTATTACATAAAGTATTGAGATACTCATGCTCTACAAATTCCTAGTTTTTATTTTAAAAATGCACTGTCTACAGCTAATCAAGTTCTAAAAACACATATGTAGTGGTTGGGGACAGATCCTGACAGAGGCTGAATACCCAACTCCTCCTCTGATTTCAACAGTTAACATGGGTTGCTCAGTACATCTCTCAAAATCAGGGCTGAAATGATTACATGTATTTTGCTGCTAATTTCTCCTATCTCATAGAGCTGGAAGGGACCCCAAAAAGTCATTGAGTCCAGCCCCCTGCCTTCACTAGCAGGACCAAGTACTGATTTTGCCCCAGATTCCTAAATGGCCCCCTCAAGGATTGAACTCACAACCCTGGATTTAGCAGGCCAATGCTCAAACCACTGAGCTATCCCTCCCCCCAAAAATATGCAGATATACCTATCTTATAGAACTGTAAGGGACCTTGAAAGGTCATTGAGTTGAGTCCAGTCCCCTGCCTTCACTAGCAGGACCAAGTACTGTCCCTGACAGTTTTTTGGGTTTTTTTTGGTTGGTTGGTTGGTTTTTTTGGCCCCATCCCTAAATGGCCCCCTCAAGGATTGAACTCACAACCCTGGGTTTAGTAGGCCAATGTTCAAACCACTGAGCTTTAAGTTTAACCAGAAAGCTAAACTTAATTTAACTTGCAATATCCCGAACACAATGGGCTGATCTCCGTAAAAGGCACTTTTCCTTCCTTTCATACAGAAAACATCCTGTAAACAATCTATTTCCACTCTGCTAACTGATTGCTTTTGTTTATTGGCAGGAACGGCAATAGCAAACTCAGCATGCAGCAGTGAGAGCTAGAAAGTTTTGTTTCATTTCCTACTGTGCAGGTGTTTTATACAAGGCATCTATTGTAATTCTTCAAGTTTCGTTTCAGAGGGAACATGCTGCTTCTTTCCAAAGCACAGACCAAGAATAACAGAGCAACAGAATTAAGGAAATAGCAGTATGCTTCAGTGTGAAGCAAAACAGAAGTATACAGCCACCATACCATACACAAGACCAACAAGTTTTCCTATTTTATTTGCCAACAGATGCAAAAAGGGAGGAGAGAGAAAGAAAAGAAAATGGAGTAAAAAATAGGGAATCACAAGACAAGCGGAGAACTTCACCATCTGATCAGTCACCTTTATTGCATCTCATTCTCAGACCCCAATATTTGTGTGCTCATTGCCTGTTTAGTTCCCAATCCTGCAACTGCCTCCAGCAGGTAGACTCCTGTGTAGGGTTTCCAACTTTCTATTAACACAAAACCGAACACACTTGCCCCGCCCCACCTCTGAGGCCCCACGCCTTCTCTGAAGCTCCAAACCCGCTCACTCTATTCCCCCCGCCCCCCGTCGCTCACTCTTCCCACCCTCACTCACTCATTTTCACCAGGCTGGGGAAGGGAGTTGGGGGGCGGGGGTGAAAGCTCCGGCTGGGGGTGTAAGCTCTGGTGTGGGGACGGGGATGACTGATTTGGGATGCAGGAGGGGGCTCCAAGCTGGGGCTGAGGGGTTCGGCATGTTGGAGGGGGCTCTGGGCTGGGGCAGGTGGTTGGAGTGCGGAGAGTGTGAGGGCTTCAGCTGGGGGTGCGGGCTCTGGGATAGGGCTGGGGATGAGGGGTTTGGAGTACAGGAGGGTGCTCTGGGCTGGAATCAAGGAGTTTGGGGGGGGAGGGGAATCAGAGTTGGGGTGGGGGGGGCAGGCTCCAGGCGGCGCTTACCTCAAGCAGCTCCTGGAAGCAGCAGCATGTCCCCGCTCTGACTCCTACACGGAGGCGCAGCCAGGTGGCTCTGCGTGCTGCCCCGTCTGCAGGTGCTGCCCCCGCAGCTCCCATTGGCCATGGTTCCTGGCCAATGGGAGCTGCAGAGCCAGCACTTGGGGCTGGGGCAGCGTGCGGAGCCCCCGGCTGCACCTACGGATAGGAGCCGGAGGGGGGATATGCTGCTGCTTCCGGGAGCCGCACGGAGCCCCACTGCGCTGCTGACTGGACTTTTAACGGCCCGGTCAGCGGTGCTGACTGGAGCCGCCAGGGTCCTTTTCGACCGGGCATTCCGGTTAAAAACTGGGCACCTGGCAACTCTACTCCTGTGCCTATGCAGAGGCAGTTTCAGGACTACGGCCTGGTCTACACTAAAGTTAGGTCAACATAAGGAAGCTTACATTAACCTAATTATCAGTGTACACACTGCAGCCTTGTCCCACTGATGTAAGTGCCCTACTACACCGACAAAGTAACTACACCTCCATGAGAGGCACAGCGCTTATGTTGGTGTAGTTACTTACATTGGCTGCTGTCTTATCAATTTCAAGACTGGCTGCCAACAGCTCCCCACTCCCAGACAGGCTGCTGCCTGGAGTCTCACAGCTCAGGGAGGCGAGAAGTCTGGATGGCTGCCCCTTCTCCCCAGCTCCAGGCTGGGAGTGCGGGAGGTGAGAAGTTTGGGTGGCTGCTCCCCTCTCCCAACTGGTAGCAGGGAGCCAAGAGCCCGGGGGGTAGGGGGACACAGCTGGGCTTCTGGCAGGGAGCTGCGCAGCACTGAGAGCCCTGGCTTTCAGTCTCCCCTCGCCCACCCCTCTTCAGTTGGTGGAAGCATTCCTGGTGAGGACACACACCACTGACAGAACAAGGATAGTGTGACATCACAGCCACCGCAGTAATTACTGCGATGGCTGTAAGGTGACCTAACACAGGTTGACTTAGGGCTGTAGTGTAGATATGACCTAAGGTTTTAAAGTATAAGCGCCTCAGGTCAGAAACAGTGTGTTTATAAAACACTTAGTTTTGGGTATGATATAGACAATTAAGAATATCTTCCTTTCATTAATAAAATCAATGCCATGTACCGGATATAAAGTCAACATCCAGATGACATGTGGTCACTAAAAATCTCATGGCACTTTACTACTTGTGTCAGTTCCAACATTCAGGCCAATAGGGTTGCCAACTGACTAATCATACAAACCCAAACACCCTTGCCCCACCCCTGCCCTGCCCCTTCCCTGAGGCCCCACTCCGCCCCATCCCTTCTCCAAGGCCCCACCCCACCTCCGTCACTTCCTCTCCCCCACCCCCACTCACTTTCACTGGGCTGGGGCAGGGGACTGGGATGTGGGAGGAGGTGAGGGCTGAGCCTGGGACAGGGGATTCGAATGCAGGAGGGGATGAGGGCTCAAGCTCTGGGAGGGAGTTTGGGTGCAGGAGGGGGCTCAGGGCTGGGGCAGGGGTGCTGGCTCTGGGAGGGAGTTTGGGTGTGGGAGGGGGCTCAGGGCTGGGGTAGGGGTGCAGGCTCCAGCCAGGAGGCGCTTACCTCGGGCAGCGGCGCAGCGGGGCTAAGGCAGGGTCCTTGCCTACCAGGGCCGGCTCCAGGCACCAGCCCACCAAGCTTGTGCTTGGGGCGGCACCTGGAGGGGGGCGGCGCAGCGCTCCGGCCCCCGGGGAGAGCGGGGCCACGGCCGGACTCGCCGCCCTACCCCCTGCGCTCTGGCCGCCGGGGGGAGAGCGGGCTCGCCGCCCTGCCCCCGGGGCTCCGGCCGCCCTCCCCCCGGCCGCCAGGGGGAGAGAGGAGCCCCTGCCGGGGCTCGCCACCCTCCTCCCAGGGCTCCGGCCGTCCTCCCTCCTGGTGCCCTCCCCCCGGCCGCCGGGGGGAGAGCGGAGCCCCCGCTGGGGCTCGCCGCCCTCCCCCCAGGGCTCCGGCCGGAGGCTTTTTTGCCTGGGGCGGCAAAAAAGCCAGAGCCGGCCCTGCTGCCTACCCTGGTCCCGCGCCGCTCCTGCAAGCGCCCCCCCGCGACTCCCATTGGCCGCAGCTCCAAGGCGGGGCAAGAGCATTTGGGTTTGTGTGATTAGACAGTTGGCAATCCTACAGGCCAAATTCCAAGTTAGACACGGTATAACTAAAACCCACCTTGGAATTTCCATTTAGAGATTTCTCTTGGTGTTCCACCACTAAAATGAATATATGAATAACCTTACCCACCCACCCACACAAATCCTATGATGTGCTAACATTAGTTGGTCTGACGATGCTAGTCACTTCATGCTAGGCAGTTACTTAAATGGAGTTTGTAAAATGCCAGGATACATTTATGTAACCTTTTATCATGATGTAAGATCATTATCAGGGCCTTGCAATTCTCTATTGCCCAGCATCAGACGGGAAAAAAACACTTCTATATGTTTGTAATAAGGCACGTGCAACTAAAATAAGTTATTCTGTAATATGTTTACATCTGTTAAAAAAAAGATCTTGAAAGTTAGCATTATTACAAAATCACTAAATCAAATAATCTTAAATAAAGCATTTTTCATTTAACAAAATTCAGATCATTGTTTTTTAAAAATCTCTTCCCTGAATGATTGACAGTTTATTTGCTTATGTATATTTTTGAATTCTTAGTATTTGATTGTCTGTGTGTATTTCACTTTGCATGATTTCCGTGCACATATTTGAACTACTGAACGTACACTACAAACATGACATATGTGCATGATCATTTACAAGAATCTCTTCATATCATCCTTTAAACTGCAACCTACTGCTATTTGTGCTTTAAATTTTCACTGTTACCATAAGACATACCCTGCCCATTTTCCCCAG